TAAACATTTAAAAAAAAAAAACACCTCTAACATTAAGAAGAGGCATTAAAAATCAAGAAGCAGTTAGGAATCATTTAAGGAACAACTATGTCTCATGGTAAAGTTATGTTCTGTTTGTTTCAGATTTTTGATGGGATATTGTAGATTGGCTTCCTGTCACAAAAAATGAAGTAATTAGCTTGTCACCTCCTTGTCCTCTTCCTGACTTTTATTACTTATGTATTTTTTTTTTACATTGTTACTGCCTGTGGCATTTATATTCTTTTTCTGTAACCCTCAGTCCCTTGGCATGTTAGTATTAGTTTGCTATTTAAACTTATTCACTGTGCATTATGAGCACATTGACCACAGCTTCTCCATTCCTGATTTTCTCATTTTGATTTATTGATTGGTTAGTTAGATTTCACTGACCTTGGGCTTTATCAGTAAGGACTCATCTTTGCACATCCCTCAGAGGATTCTTTTACGTTTGAGAATGTTTCTTGCCTTTATATTCTACTGACAACCTGGGCAGATATATGATTATTCCTGGGACCTGTGTTCTCCAGAACTTTGTAGACATTGGTGCATTGTCTTCTCATGGTGAATAGTGCTAGGGAGGGGTCTGCTATCTGCCTTCTTTCTCCTTTGTAGGCGACTGCAAGAACAATTCTTTAATATCCTTAATGATAAAAAACTTTGAACCAGACTGTGCCTTGATATTAATTGTTTGGAAATAATTCTGGAATGTCTTTTTTTTTTTAAGTTTTTACTTATTTAAATAATCTCTACACCCAACCCGCAGCACCTGTAGCCCCAAGATCAAGAGTTGCATGCTCCACCGACTGAGCCAGACAGGCACCCCTGGAATGTCTTTTTTCTGTCTGCATGTTTAGTTCTTCCTTCATTTCAGGGAAATTGACCTGGAATTTAATTTCTTTTTTTTTAATTAATTAATTTATTTTGAGAGAGAGAGAGAGAGCGAGTGGGGGAGGGACAGAGGGTGAGGGAGGGGAGAATTCCAAGCAAGCTCTACCCCAGTGCAGAGCCCAGTGCAGAGCTCGAACCCATGAACTGTGAGTTCATGACCTGAGCCAAAATCAAGAGTTGGACTCTCAACCGAGTGAGGCACCCAGGTGCCCCTGGATTTTTATTTCTGCTAAATACATATCTCAATGTCAGCTTTATGGACTCTAGTTATCCTTCCGTTTGATTGTGTTTGCCTTTCCTCCCTGTTTTATTTCATTGCATTAGTATCTTTGTCTCTTCACCTTGCATTCACAGATATTTTCTTGATCCTTTCTCCATGCTGTGAACTCTGTTTTGTTTCTCATGTCTTCTGCTGCTTGCCTCCCAGCTGTCGCCAGGGCTCCTAAGACACTGCTAATTTATTTATTGGATATCTGTGCGGTGCATCTCAGTTTGCTGTCTTTAGCTCTCTAGTCTTCCTTCTTAGCCCATCCTTTTTGAAGATCAGCTTTTCCTTTGCCAAACTTCTATTCTTCTTAAGTTCCTTTATAGTGGGGAGCATGCTTGGGATGGCTTCTGTTTGTTTTAGACTGGGTTCTTTGTCTTTCCAAAATATGTTTCTGTTTCTTTTAGATTTTCTATTTCTTTTCCTGTCTTCCCTGTCCTGGTACAGTGTGACTTCTCCTTACATTCCCCCCACCTACCTCACCGGGCTCTACTTGGTCCTTTCTGCTCAGAGCTTCACTGGGGACCGAGTGTTACTTAAAAAAAAATGCTGTAGTAAAATATACATAACATAAAATTTAGTGGCACTTAATACAGTAGTAAAATATACGTATATAAAATGTATCATTTTGGCATTTTTAAGTGTCCTGTTTAGTGGCTTTAAGTGCATTCCCATTTTAGGGCAACAACCAACAATGTCTAGCTCCAACACTTGTTCTTTTGCCCCAACTGAAACTCGGTTCCCATTAAACACCAGCTCCCTAATGCCCCCTCCCCCACCAGCCTTTGGCAGCTCCCAGGCTACTCTCTGTCTCTGTGAATTTGACTACTCCAGGAAGTTCATATGAGTAGAATCATAACATATTTATCCTTTGTGACGGCCTCATTTCACTTAGCATAATGTCTTCAAGGCACTGTATCATGTGTCCGAAGCTCCTTCCTTTTCAAGGTTGAATAATATTCCGTTGGATGGATCAACCCCATTTGGTTTATCCATTCGTGCCGATGAACACTTGGGGTGCTTCTGCCTGTCAGCTATTGTGAATACGGCTGCTGTATACCCGAGTCTACAAATGTCTATTCAGGTCTCTGGCTTCAGTTCTTTTGGGTATACTTAGCAGTGGAACGGCTGGATCATGTGGGAATCCTGAGTGTTACTTTTGAAACTGATTTTAGGAGTCTGAGGACCTGGGTGGGAGGCCGAGTGCAGCCAGAGATGGGTGTCGTCCTTGCTGGAGCAGAGATCTGCCTTCCCTTCTGTGAGATCGTCATTACAGAGCTCCTGCGGCTGCAGAGAGATGTACCCACTCCCGGGGTCTCTACCGATTTCCACTGGGCCTGCCTGCCCGAAAGTTAGCCAGTCCAGCACCTTTCCCACCTTTGTTCAGGCTTGTGATAATTATGTTTGGCTACTACTCTGGGGTTTAAAACCTTTTTTTTAAGTAGGCTTTACGCCAAGCGCAGAGCCCAGTGCGGGCCTTGAGCTCATGATCCTGAGACGAGGACCTGAGCTGAGATCAAAATCAACCAAGCCACCCACGGTTTTACATGAATTTAACTGGGGTGTCCACTGTTTGTCCTCAGCCGGCCTGCCTCTCTCTTAGATTTTCTACAATTCTCAGGATTTTATTCTGTCCTCAGTACTGCTTCTGGGGTGCAGGCGAGAGTTAGGGGCTACAACAGTGCAACCACAGCAAGGAAGAGAGAGATGATAGAGCCTCCTGCGATGGTTTTAGGGGCCAGGCCTGGGAGAAGCCCTTATCATTTCTGTCCACGTCCCATTGCCAGAATGCCATCATATGACCCAAACCAAACTGCAAGGGAGGCTGGGAAATGTAGTCTTTCTGTGAGCCCACTTGAATTGGTGAACACAACGTTGTGCCCAGGGGGTTTCTTTTTATGGCTTCCGTTTCCTTTGTGCCCTTCCTTGAGCTCCAGGGGATTCTGTTTTATAGCTGCCGGTTCCTGAGAATATTAATTGTACTGATTCTAACAGCTCCTTCTGTTTTTGTTGTTGTTGCTTTGTTTTTTTGTTTTCTATTATCTGCTTTCTCAAGAGTTTTTTTGAGCTTGGAGGTCTTTTTGCTTGGTGCTGGTTTTCTCTCATGGGTGGTGACCTCTAGTTCTGCACATCCTATCTGATGACCACTGGGAGGGGTTCTGTTAAGTGGCTGATCTTCTGGGTCTGCAGGCTCCCTTCTTCCCAGGTATGACCAGCCAGGGCACTGTCCCGATACCTCCCCTGAGAGTCTCCTGGGGGAGATGCTTGGCTTCTGGGTCTGTGGCATCAGTGGATGAGAAGTGTGGGCAGACCCCCTGGGGCACTCCCCATCGGCTTCCCTGGGGCCTGCCCCTGCCCTCACCCACTTGGAGACTGGAGTACCCCACCCCAGAGCCGCTCCCAGAGTAATCCTCTTGGGTATATTCTGGGCTTTGGTCTCCTTCTTCCATGCGATCCTATCTGCCTTCCATATTCTAGGAAGTCTTCATTGCTGGTTGACCAAGGATGCCCTGTGTTGCTTTCCAGGGATGTGTGCATTTGTTAATTACTTATACCGGTGATTTTTTTTTTCTCTTGAGATCAAATTCACCATTTTTTTCTTTTAAATTCATTTTAATTACACTCTTTGCTTATTTATTAGTTTCTGAAATAAGTTCTACGCCAAACATGGGTCTTGACCTCATGACCCTGAGATAAATAGTCACATGACCTGCCAACTGAGCCAGCCAGGAGTTGGTAAAATTCACCATTTTAAAGTGTGCAATACAGTATTTATTTATTTTTTTTAATTCACAATGTGGCACCACCACCACTATCTGATTTCAGAGCATTTTCACCTCCCCCAAGAGAAACCCCTTCTCTCCCAATTCACTCCTTCTTCCATGCCCTTACAGTGACTCATCTACGTTGTGTCTCTATGGATTTGCCTACTCTGGGCATTTCATCGAAATGGAATCATGCAATATGTAGGTTTTCATGGCTGGCTTCTTTCACTTTGCAGTGTTTTCAAGGTTCATTATGTTGTAGTACCAGTCATTCCTTCTTTTCTTTTCTTATTTTAGTGCTCATTTATTTATTTGAGAGAGAGAGAGAGAGAGCGAGCAGGGGTGGGGTAGAGAGACAGGGAGAGAGAATCCAGAGCAGGCTCTTTGCTGACTCAGTGCCCAGTCCCACAAACCTGTGAGATCCTGACCTGAGCCAAAATCAAGAGTCTGATGCTTAACTGACTGAGCCACGCAGGCACCCCCTGGGTCATTGCTTTTCACAGCTGAATAACATTCCTTTGTATGGACACACCACGTTTTGTTTATCCATTCATCGGTTCATGGACATTTGGGTTATATCTACTTTTTGGCTGTTATGAACAATACTGCTGTGATCATTGGATTTAGGGCTCTCCTCCCTAACCGTGACAACCACTGATCTTTCTAGTGTCTTTGTAGTTTGTTTTTTCCTGAACGTCGTGGAGTTGGAATCACACAGCGTGTAGCCTTTTCAGATTGACTTCTTTCACTTAGCAATATGCACTCAAGGTTTCTCCGTGTCTTTTTTGCCCATTTTAATGGGGTCATGAATTTGTTTTTAATATGATGGTAATGACGTCTGGGGATATGAGCGGGGAGTGGAGGCTGCCTCATAGGCCCCACCTGCCATCTTGCCTTCGTTGCAGGAACCCTCTGGAAAGAAGGGCCGGGTGTGCGGGCTCCCTGCCCGAGGGGAGGCCAGAATGATGTCTTGTCTCACGTGCCAGGCTGTCCCTGAGGGGTCCCTGGATCCCTTCCCCGGTCCTCCCTCTGCCTCCCATGCCCGTCTCTGTGTCCCTTAGACGATCTTGTGGAGAAGATGCCGTGCTCAGGGAACTCCTCCCGCGTCTGTGAGTGCCGCACTGGCACGTTCTGTGCCACATCAGCCACCAACTCCTGTGCCCGCTGCATCCCCCACACCGTCTGCCCGAAAGGGATGATTGTCAAGGTCCAGGGTAAGTATCCCCACCCTCAGCCCAACACCAAGACCTGTGCCAAGCTGTACCCCGCCTCCACCACCGTCCCAGATCTCCAAATGACCTCTGACCTCCTCCTTCCTCCTTCCTGTTGGACTGACATGTCTCCTTTCGAGATGCTGTGGGTGTACCATTTACTCAGAGCCCCCCAGCCTCTTCCCTGCACTTTGGGTCCCAGGCTCAGAGAGACCCTGATGGCCTGAGACACAGGCCTGGCTGGAGGAGTGTTGGGTTAGTGGAGACTCGGGGCAGAAGTTCTCTGATGCCTGAAAAACAAGAGCAAAACTCAAGTCTTCTGTCCCGGGACTTTCCCAGGGTATGGGGGCTGTTTTTCCCAACTCACAATCGAGGCATTGGGAGTTAGAGGAGCTGAGAAACTCGGATTTCTTTTCCAACTTGCTGTGTGAGGTCAGGCACATGCTTTACCCTCTCTGAGCTTCTGATTTTGTGACAGAACAAGGGGCCAGAAAAGAGGCCAGAAAAGAGGTAAGGGCCACAGATCCGGTGCAGGTGGTATTGAGAGCACGTTTCAGAGGGAGGTTGGAGAGTGGGTGGGCTTTGGACCATGGCCCACTAGTGGTGCCACAGCCACACGGGCTGGGAGGCTGCAGGGTGGAATCAGAGAGCTACACCCATTAGGGAGAAAAGTGCCAACACTGAGCCCATGACGCTCCTTCTCCTCAACTGGTCCTTTTCCAAAGCCCAGGCCTTACCACCCTCTCCCCCGACAGCCCATCCTTCCCTCACCCCACAGCCAGCCTACCCCCAGTCCAACAGATTTTGCTCCCCAGTTCTGTCTCCCGTTCCCACCCCCATTTCCTCCTGTCATTCCTTGCCCATGGCTGACAGGCAGAGCCACTCTGCTTAACCAAATCTGATTTCTCTCTGCCTGTCTCTCTCACCCCCACACACCTGCCATAAAAACACTTCAGTATTTTCTCATTTCTACAGCGATAATGACATGATCCTTTGGCAAAAGAGAACAGGTGTTTGGAGGGATTTCTTTAATTCTGCTCCCGTTGGCATTTCTGGGCTGCTGGTTTATCGGGCTCCATGTCCGGGATCTATGAACAAAGAGAAACCCCAGGGGACTTGCCACTGTGTCCTTCCTAGGGTTCCAAGGGCTACCCTCTCCTCTCCCCTGTTCAGAGCCTTCTTTGTTTCATACATATTTTTATCTGTATAAAGCACGTACATGCATGTTTTATACATGTGCCCGGGGCGTTTAGCTGTCCTTCGTGGGAGAACTAGGGAAAAGGGCACCCAGTCCAGGTTCGCACGAGCAGTCTCCAGGACGTGACCCTGCACGCGACCCTGCGCCGTGTCCCTCTCCCTCCTCCAGGTCAGAGTCACGCCGGCCCCCTCCTTTCTTGGCCCCACTGGTCTGCTCACTTTCGGCTCCGTGGATGTGCGGTGCTTCTCACTCCTACCAGGCGTTTGTGCGTGGTGTCCCCTCAGCACATCCTCTCCTCCTGCTCACTCGGTCACCTCCTGCTCAGCCTGGCCTCTCTGTCCACACCTCACTTCCTCAAGAGGAAGTGCCATGACTTGTGACAGGTCACATCTCCATTGTGATCTCTCATCACACGGAGTCCTTCCCAACATGGATGTGAACACCGGTGTCTGTCTTGGTTCGATCAACGCTGGCCTCCCTCCCTGGGCGGTAGATGCGTGAGGGCCGAGGTCATCTATCTCCCCATTGCCTGATCAAGGCCAGGCACAGAATCTTCTCTGCAGAAGGACGTGGGGGCCCCGGACAGCTCAGTGCTGCGGGTGGGTGGGGCTCAAATCTGGCCCAGTTCTCCCCGGGTCACACAAATGCTGTGCTGAGGGGCTTGCGGCAGCGCGCCACCTGCGAACAGGGCCGGGGGTGGAGTGGAAGATGCTCTGGGCTGGGCACCAGGTCCCCGGGGTATTGTTCGCCTGCAGCCGTGGGGCATGTTCCCACCCCATCCTGGACTTCAGTGTCCCATCTGGGAAATGTAAAGTTGCCACTAGACGGCCCTGGGGGACCTTCCAGCTCTGAAACAATTGCATCTCTGCTAGCATCGGTTTAGAGTTCTGTTGCAGCCAGGGCCCGTGGACCCGCTCCAGAAAGGAGGCCCTGTTTTGGTGGTGTTCCTGCGACTGCCGCATGGTGGCGCCCGAGCCCCCCTTTGCTGCCCCTCGACCCCTGCTGCCCCTAGCGGTACCATTGGCCACATGCCTCCACGGAGCGTTTAAAAGGTGGCCAGTTGCGGGCGTACAAAAATGTAAAACATCTCATTAATTATCGTTATGTTGCTTGTCTACCTCTGTAGTTTAGCTATATTGGGTCACATACATTAAATTAATTTCACGTGTTTCTTTTTACTTTTTTAAAAATTTATCTTTCTTTTTACTTTTTAAAAAGGGGTTACTTGGAAATTTATGACAGTGTGTGATTCACATCATATTTCTGTGGGACAGCGCTGCTGGCTGACTTCTGGGCTCCCACGTGGACGCTCCCACAGGGCAACTCTCCAGCTGCAAGATGGACAGTAGTTTCCGCTTTAGCGTCAGCCGGTAGCTAAGCCGCATGGGGCAGCTTACATGGGTGTTCCCTCCTGAAATTTTCAAAACTCCAGAAAGTAGACGGAAGTATCCCCATTTTAGAACAGGGGAAATTGAGGTCCAGGGATGGCAGGTAAATCGCTCAAGACCACAGAGCAGGGAATGTCTGGGCTAGACTTTGAATGTCACACCCAGGCCTCGTCACGCCAGCGCACTCGGAAATACGAGACACATGAGCATTGTTCAGGCCCCCTCCACTGGAGCCTTCAGATCATAATCGCACACGTGGGACTCTTTCTAAGCAATGGGACAGAGGTCTAGAAGGGGAAAAGGACACGCTGTTCATGGGGCGTTTACTCTGTATCACGCAGTGTGATGGGCACAGTGAGGACATGTTAGAGGTGGCAGGCAAACTCAGATCCACCTGATGGAAAGTGCTACGTGTTTTTCCTCTTTACTGTGTTTGCACCCAGGATTCTTCAGGAGTCTTTGGGTTGCACGTAACAAAATCTCAAATTTTTTGGCTGATGTAACTGCAAAGTCTGGGGCTGGCTCTGGGTAGTATCAGGCATGGCTGGATCCAGGAGCCCTGTCTTTACCTATTTGTCACCTCTGCTCCGCCAGATCCAAGCTTGCCTCCTACCCAAACCCAGTAGAAAGACGGTTTCTCCTTCCTGCAATTTCAACAGCCATAATTGAAACGATGATATTGTACCTCATGGGCGTGGCTGGGGTCAGGTGCCCACCGCTGAACCAGCTCCTCGGGGTCAGAGGAATCAAAGGGATCGATTGGTCCAAAGTCGTCTGGGTTTACTCCTGGGAGGGTGGGGTGGTGAGTCGGCCTCAGCCCCGTGCACGGATGCTGAGACTGGGGAGAGTGTTCCGGGGAGAATCGGGATGCCTTAGCCCGAGGGGGAAGGGGTGCTGGGCAGGCGCAAACACCAGATGGCCGCTGCGTTTTCCAAGCACCTCATTCCGAACTGTGGGTCGTGGTGGGAAAGGATCTGTTCCTAGAGCCTCCAAGCTCCTCGGTAGCACATCTGTCCACCTTGTGATCCCCTGCAGGCACAGCACAGATGGATACCGTGTGTGAGCAGCCTTCCCCGGTGACCAGCCCTGACCTCGGCACGGGCCCAGAAGACTGCCAGGCGCCCACCAGGTGACTCCCGGCCCTCTCCCTTCCAGCTGATGTGGCATGGGGCTGTCCCAGCCCCCAGGACGCCCAGAGCCCAGCTGGGCTGTGGTGTGGGTGGGGTTTGGCCCAGGGTATCAGGACTCCAGGGTGCCTGTCTGTCAACCCAGCAGTCGCATGACCCCCACCGTGTGCCGAGTGTTGCCCGAGCGCACGAGAGAAGGTCTAGACGGCACAGCCGTGGCTCCCAGGAGCGGACGGTGGGGCTGCCAGGGGCTGTGGGCTGAGGGGCTGGGAACCCCTTTGCTGTGGAAGCGGTTACCCCTGAGCACAGACCTCCCTGCGTCATCAGGAGGGTTGGCAGTGCCCTTTCCGGCTTCTTTCTCAGCGACACCAGCGCCCAGGCCGGGCCCCTGGTGACCTCCTCAGTGAGCTCCGGTGCCAGGACCACGCTCCTTGGAGGGGGCACTGCCATCACCCCCGAAGATGATTCCAAAATGACGGGGGCCCCCGGCTCTCCCTCCTCTGTGAGGAAGCCCAGTCCAGATCCAGGTAATTTCTCGAGAAGCTTTGGGTTGTTTCCCAGGGCAACGGCGTCTCACTGGCAGGCGACCTGTGTGTGGCCTTCCCCTGGGCAGGTGGGTCTCTCCTGGTCCAGGGAGAAGAGGGTCTCTAGGTCCCTTGGGGCTGCAGGCTTCGAGGGCCAGAGGGGATAAAGGAAGAAGTCATTCATTTGACAGCTTAGTGCCTGCTGTGTGCCAGACACCGAGGCCCTGGCAAAGGAGCAGGTGTGGGTATGACGCCCTCCTGGTTCCTGTGGTGACGGATTGGGGTCCTAGGTTCCCTCCTGTTTATCGCTGACCAGCCTTCTGTTGTATGGGTGTATACACCGTGTATATCCCGTAGTGTTTGGGTTTGGGTTGTTTCCACTTTTGGCTACAGTTAACAGTGATAAAGAGCTCTTTGTTTTCATGTCTCTAGGGTTTGTTCAGTTTTAATTGAAAAAATTTTTTAAGTGCATTAATTTATTTTGAGAGAGAGCACGGGGGAGGGGCACAGAGAGTGGGAGACAGACAATCCCAAGCAGGCTCTATGCTGTCAGTATAGATCCCGATGTGGGGCTCCATCCCAAGAACCATGAGATCAGGACCTGAGCCAAAACCAATAGTCTCTGCTCAAGCAACAGAGCCACCCAGGTGCCCCGCTAAAGAGGTGTCCCTAATTTTAAAGTCCTCACGTGGGTCCACTTTTTCTCTTTATGTCCTGCCTTGTGTTCACTGAAGTCTCCACTGAAGTCTCAAAGGCATCCTGCATTACTCTCTAGGATCATTACTGTTTTGCCTTTCACGTTTAGATCCGCTGTCTGCCTACCTTTTGTTTGTGGCGGAGGCAGCGGTCATGTTGCAAGAGGCCACATGGATATGCGTTGAACCAACGCCTTTTATCGAACAAATTGTCCTTTCCCTGCTGATTTGCCTGCCATCTTTGGGGTAAATCTAAGGTCCATAGGTGCCTGGCTGTGATCCGGACTTCATATTCCTTTCCGTTCGTTGTCGTTTTGTCTGGTCTGTGTGGATGCCATGCGGTCTCGACTCCAGGAGATTTTCGGTATATGGTGGAACAACTTCCCCACCTCTGTTCTCCAGCCCTGCCCTGGCTCTTCTTGGTAATTTGCATCTGTGCATCGACTTTAGAATCAGCCTTTCACATTCCACAAAACGTCCCGTTGGGATTTTGATCGGGATTGCACTGAATCTGTGGATCAGGTTAGAGAGAATCCGTATTTTTATAGCATCAAGTACACGGGAAAGCCGTATTTTTATTCAGGCCGTCTGTCTGTCTGTCTTTCTTTCTTTCTCTCTCTCTCTCTCTCTCTCTCTCTCTCTCTCTGTTTCTTTCTTTCTTTCTTTCTATATATATGAGGCCCCGCTTTCACGGTCTGTATTCATACTGAAAATCAAGATCGGCCGTCTTTATTTTTATGTATTTAATTTTACTTAGGTCAGCTGAACTTCTCTCTCCCAATGATGTTTTATTAGTTTCCATGTAGAACGATTTACATCTTTGTGTTAGATTTCTAGGTATTTGATGTTTCTGATGATGATGACAGTGGTATTGTATTTTTCAGTATTGCGGGTTGTAAGTCTTCATTTTTAGTATTGTTTTGAACCATGTGAGTAGTCAGTATGTGACAGCCTAACCTGTCACAATAGCAGTCTCATAGGGTTCAACCCAAATGTATAGACACTCAGCTGAGTTTGATGTAATAACATTATATCCAGTTACCTTGCTAAACTCACTGTGAGTCCTAATAACGTATCTGCGGATTCTTTTGTGTAATCTGTGCACCTAATGATGTCATCTGTCCCTGACAGCCTGGTGTCTGCCTCTCCTGGCCTCACTTCTTTTCTCTCCTTTCCTTGCCTTACTGCCTCGCCTGGGACCCCAGGGCCACACTGAGCGGAAGCTGTGGTAGTCGGCATCCTTGCCTCATGGGCTGATCTCAGAGGGAAGTGGCCCCAGGGTTTTGAGGAGGGTGGTGACATGGTGGGGCTGGGGAGAGGGCTCTGGCGTAGTGGCAATGACGGATCGCAGAGGGAAGGGCCTGGAAGCAGAGGGGCATATCAGAGGGAGTCAGTGCTCTTTTCCTGTGTGGCTGTAGACACATTCCTTCCCTCTCTGGGCTTCAGGACTCCCTCTGCAGGTTGATCTGACACGTGAGGAGTCTGGGCGCCAGCCTTGGAGCTGGTGGTGGCGACTGGGTGAAGAGGTGGTGGTGAATGGGGCCTCTGCCCTGGCGGCCTGGCCTGGAGGTTGTCTGCTTCTTTCCCCAGGGCTGACCCCGCAGCCGCCGTGTCCCCAGGGGTCACCTGACTGTAGGAAGCAGTGTGAGCCCGACTACTACCTGGACAGGGACGGCCACTGCACGGCCTGTGTGAGCTGTGCTCGAGGTAAGGGCCATGTTCTCCCCTCCTGGGGCTCCCTCTGGGTGCAGGGGGTCTTGGCCGAGAATCTGGGATGGAAAACCTTGAGTTTGTTCTGGGACTGGTGAGTCCTCAGGAGCCTAGCTCTCCATTCTAGCATTTTTGAGCAGTTAGATTTTCTGAGTCCAGTTGTGATTATAGGGTTTTAATGGCAGTGATCCCTTTTCAGAGAGCTTCCATTTGCTCACTCCTGCAAGGAAGCATTTGTCATAACCTACCCTGTTCTAAACTTGTCTCGTTATTTTTGGTTGCTACCTTATGGTGCATGGATTACAAATATCCCTGTTTTACAGAAGAGAAAACTGAGGCTTTGGGAACTGAGGCGTTACAAAGGCCACACATCCTTGTGAGAGCCAGAGCTAGAGTTTGAACTTTGAGGTTCTCAGTTGTGGTCATTCCCTGCGCTGTCCCTTAGCGCATGCCCTGGACCGGCACTTGCTGGGTGCCTGCTGTGTAGACAGTCAGCTCACTTATGGCAATACCAGCTGCCCCATGACGTCTGTGAGGGCCACAGAGGGCAGGGGAAGCTGCCCAGGACCCGAGGAATGTGTGATTATGTCTCCTTGTCCAGAGTTTCTTTCACACAACAATGCAGCCTGAAGTCCAGGGAGGCCTGAAGAGGAAAGAACACTATTTGTGGTCACCAGGGGCCACTGTTCCAGTTATGAGGCCACATAGCAAGTTTTGTCAAAGCTTGTGGTAATAAACAAACCATTCTTTGTACTTGTGAATTCTGTGGGTCAGAATTCAGACAGGGCACTATGGGGACAGCTGGCCTCCACTACACGAGGTCTGGGGTTTCCATTGGAAAGTGTGAAGGCTGGAGGTTGGAATCATCTGGAAGCATTTTCATTCATGGGTCCGGGTTTGATGCCAACCGCAGGCTGGGGCCTCGATGCTCTCTGTGTTGGCCTGTATATGGCTGACTTTGGGCTTCCTCAAGGCCTGGTGGCTGGACTCCAAGGAAGGGGGAGGGGTGGGCACAAGCCATATCCCTTTTGTTGACGTTACCTCAGAAATCACACGTCGTAACTTCTGCCGGTTTCTACCTGTTGAGGCAGTCGCAAATCGCACTGAGTCATTGGAAGGAAAAGAAATCAGGCTTCTTGATGGCTAAGTGGCAGAGGCGTAGACGAGCAGATGGGGCCAAAATATTGCTCTGGCCATTTTGGACAAATGTAACCTGTCATAGCCACTATGTCAGATAGAGAAGCAGGAGGTGGCTGTGGGTCTGAGAATTCCTTTAGCTCTAAGGATGAAGCCTTGCAAAGCAGTGGGTACAATACAGGGGCTAAGAGCACAGACTCTGGAGCTCAAGTGGCTGGGTTCAAATCTTGGCTTTACCCCTTTCCACTCTTAAACACAAGCACGTTTCTTAATTTCTTGTGCCTCAGTTTCCTCATCTGTAAAATGGGTATAATAATAGTACTCTCCCAGAGAGCTGTTGCAGGAATTAAATAGGTTAAACCAGGTTAATCTGAGCAGAGTGCTAAGCGTACTACCCCCTCACCTCGATTGTATTAATGCTGCCTCACAGGCACTCAAAGGTATCAATAGCTATAATCATGAGAATAGCTATTACTGTCCTGTCTCACCTCTCTCACTGCTGAGCTCACTCTTGCCCTCCACACAAATTCTCCAGAGCCTCTCTGCTTCCCACTCTCTCTGGAGGTTTCAGGAAGAAAGTGTGAGGTCCTTTATCATTAGAGGTCTTTTCAGTATCCTGCTGACTGAGAAAAGCCCTTAATGACCAAGTCATATTTGTCTAATCTAGTAACGCCGTAATTCTATTTTCACCCACATACAGCACACAAAGTATTTCTGAACATATGTAAATGCATTATTATATGTTTTCTGTTCACAAAACCTCTAATATTTTAATTTTGGGGGAAAACCCCTTTCTGTCATTGAAAACGTCAGACCTGTTGAGAAGCAGAGAGTCAGGAACGGTTATGGAATATTCCCCAGTTTTAAAGAATGATCAAGGCGTGGCCAGTGTGGGTCCACCTATGTGCACGCCCACTCACCCTGTCCTCTAGATTATTTTCTTTTAACAGCTCTATTGAGGTATGATTGACAGGCAATGCAATGCGATGTCTAAAGTGTGCCATTTGATACGTTTTGACATACGCACGTAGTGGTGAAACCATCACTACAGTCGAGGTAGATGAACTCTCCATCCCCCCAGAAAGTTTCCTTGTGCTTCTTATCATCCCTCCCACCACTGTTCACCCTGCGTCCATTCCCAGGTCACCATTCTGCTTTCTGTTACTGTGGAAGAGTTTGCATTTTCTAGCATTTTCCATAAACATAATCACATAGTATGTACTCTTTTTTCCTGCCTTCTTTCACTTAGCATAACTATTTTGAGCATGCCAAGAGATCCGTTCAACGGAAGAGTCATATGAGCATTTGCTTCTGGACAAAGGAATTCTCTGCCCTCCTGGGTTCTCTGGAGCCCCTGCCCTTGCCATCCCAGATCCTTCCCCGTGACCCTTCTGTGTCCCTTAGATGACCTGGTGGAGAAGACACCCTGTACCTGGAACTCCTCTCGTGTCTGCGAATGTCAACCTGGCATGTTCTGTGTCACACCAGTCACCAACTCCTGTGCCCACTGTGTCACCCGCCCCATCTGCCCACCAGGCATGGCCACCAAACCCCAGGGTAAGCAGTCTGTACCCCCAGCCAAGGGGCTGAGGTCTGTGCCCCTATAGCTGTGCTTTTCCCTACCCCCAGCTGGGCAAATGACCTTCAACCCTAGCTGTTAACTAGGTCAGGTTTGGGCTTTGGTTTTTAATAGCTAGATCCAGTAAGTGGAGTAAAATCTGGATTTGGGGGCACCTGGCTGGCTGAGTTGGAAGAGCATGTGACTCTTGATCTTGGGGTTGTGAGTTCAGGCCCTGAGTTGGGTGTAGAGATTACTAAAAGATAAATAAATCAACTTTTAAAAATGTTTATGTATTTGTGGGGGGGGGGTGGAAGAGAGGGAGAGAGGGAGAGAGGGAATCCCAAGCAGGCTCTGTACTGTCAGCTCAGAGCCCAACACAAGGCTTGATTTAATCTCGTGAACTGTGAGATCATAACCTGAGCAGAAACCAGGAGTCGGATGCTTGACCGACTGAGCCGCCCAGGCACTTCAAAACATAAATAAACTTAAGAAAAAGTCTAGATTTGGCATTTTGGTAAGAGATTCTGATAATATATTTTTTAAAATTCTTCCTTCTGAAGGTGTTGGGTTTGTAAAATTTTGACTTGTTTTTAAAAGGCTGTTTCATGACTCAAGACAGATAAATGAAATTTTTGAAGATGGTTCCAACTCAGATGGTAGACATTTGGGGCGCCTGGCTGTCTCATTCAGTAGAGCATGGTGCTCATGATCTCAGGGTTGTGAGTTCAAGCCCCATGTTCGGTGTAGAGCTTACTTAAAAAAAAAAAAGGAAGAAGAAGAAAGAGAAAAGGAAAAAGAAAAGATGGTAGACATTTGCCAGAGTGCAGAAAATTATAAATTCTTGATGGTGGGGGAAAAAACCCAAAACACGGTTAATCAGTAGATGAGATTTCAGCAAATCTCTAGAAGGTAGAAAACAGAGGGAAGGGTGGTGATGGATGAAACCAGGGAGAGGAGAGCTCCCCCCAGGATTCAGTGTTGCAGGAAATGTGAGAGGTAACTTGCTTTGAAGACCCCACAGAAGCTCTGCGCTCAGAGCAGGCAAGTAAAAGGAAGGATGGGATGGGAGTGAGATGGAGAATTGAAAGGTACAGAGGGTTGCAACTTCAGCTTGAAAATAAAAATTAAAGCCTGTAACAGAGGCCTACCACGGACACTGACCAGTCTGAACAGACGGTACCTGAGTTTTCATCCTCTGGTGAAAATTGTCAACTTTTTGGCTAAAGATACTGAAGGAATATCTAGGGAAACGTGGGGGTACTGCCACCCTGCTGTAAAGCCCTCTTTGGTTGTGTATTTGGGAGTACGCCCTGTCGATAGGCTACCACTGCCGAGTCACCCTGGAGTGAAAACTGCCAGCCTGCACTCCCCCCATGGGCCCAGAGTTCCTGGGTGGATCTCCTACTCAGGGAAGAGACCCACTTTGAAAAGGACATGCTGGAATATTCAGCATCGTTCTTTTTATTATTATTATTTATTATTATTTTTTAAATTTATTTTTCAGAGACAGAGGGCGAGAGACAGAGCACAAGTGGGGGAGGGGCAGAGAGAGGGAGATACAGGCTCCAAAGCAGGCCCCAGGCCCTGAGCTGTCAGCACAGAGCCCAACATGGGGCTCAAACTCAAGAACTGCGAGGTCA